TTGTACGCGCAGGGATCCCATATGGGTGCTGGTGCTAATCCTGGCAGCTCCACTTCCCATCCAGCTCCCTGCTTGTGGCCTGGGAAAGCAGTCGAGGACAGCCCAAAGCTTTGGGACCCTGCACCCACATGGGAGACCCGGAGCAAGTTCCTAGCTCCTGGCTTCAGATTGGCACAACATTGACCGTTGCAGTCACTTGGAGAGTGAATTATTCGACTGAAGATCTTCCTCACTGTCTCTCTTCCTCTCTGTATATCTGACTTTGCAATAAAAATAATTTTTTAAAAAATATATAGTCATAATTTTCTTGTAGACATATACTGTGTCAACTCATCTTTATTAGCCAGAACACTCCCAGCATCTTCTTAAATACCCTAGACTGCTGCCATAACCTCGCCCAAGTTTGTCAGCCTTCCCTGGCTAGGGGAGAATCTTTCAGCCAATGACCTACTTTATAAACTAAGAAGTTCTGCAGCTTAATCTGAGAATTATCATAGGTCAGATGTTTCAACAAGGACAAGTTAACACAAGTTAACACAGTACAACACAGTACCCAAAACAAATGCTGAGAAGTACAAAAACATCCTTGAAAAGCACACCCTTCAATCCTGGTAGATTCTAACCCACCTGTTATAGGATAAGAGCATTTAAAGAAGCAATCAACCACACAGATGCTACCCTGATTTTTTTCTAATGGTACTTTAAGGTAAACTAAACATCAAAGGCACTGGGCTGCAAATTTTACCAGGTCTCTCCATGAGACATTTAAGGATGCCCCTTTGCTTTTGGGGGGTTATTGTGTTTGTTTGTTTAAGATTTATTTATTTCTATTGCAAAGTCAGATAGACAGAGAGGAAGATCTTCCATCTGATGATTCACTCCCCAAGTGACTGCAAAGGCCGGTGTGCGCTGATCCGAAGCCAGGAGCTCTTCTAGGTCTCTCACATAGGTGCAAGATCCCAAGGCTTTTTTGGGCCATCCTCAACTGCTTTCCCAGGCCACAAGCAGGAAGCTGGATGTGAAGCTGGGCTGCTGGGATTAGAACCGGTACCCATATGGGATCCTGGCACATTCAAGGTGAGGACTTTAGCCACTAGGCCACTGCACCAGGCCCATCATTTGTTGAATTATGTCAGGACCATAACATTGCCTCTCTCCCCCAAATTATGGAGTGCAGGCAATGAAAAATGGGGTGGGAGGATTCTCATTTTTAAACTAAGCCTGCTTAAAGCAGATGAAAATACTATCCTTTTTAAAAATAAAGGTGATATTTGGTTTGAAGTGATCTACTACCTGCTTAACCCCACACACCTTCTGCCAAATTGCCTGAGATAGTATAGTTTTTGATCATTCCTGCTGTTTATCTAGTTAATTGATTTTAAGTGCCTTTGCTCATGCCCTGTGAGCACTACGACAAGCCCAAGATTATGGAACCTGCTTAAGGAAAGAAGTAACTTGACTTGTTATCTAGTAATCATCTAATACAAACAAATTATCATCCCATATTCTGTACAGAAAACCTCCATAACTTGAGGACCACATAGATTCTTGTCACCATGAAGCCAGTCATTAAACGGATACTGGCAAGGGGTAAATTGTATTCACAAGCAATTATTCCTTATTTATTTCTAGATACAAAAATTAATTTTTATGTCATTTCTCATTAATGCTGCAAGGGAAATCCCAGGGCCTATGGAACTGTATCATAAAATGATAATAAAAAGAAGTAAAATAAATTAAAAAAAAAAAAAGAACCATTCTTTTAAAAGAGCAGGTAAGGGGAAAAAAGTTCTTATTTGGTGTCACTTACCTATTTGGCCACTGGGTGCCAGAGTAGATCTTCCTAAAGTCCCAAAATCAGTATGGAATATGAAAGTATGAAAATAACAAAGCACTCACTACCTTTGATCTTTCCCAGTGTCTTCCATTGTATTGTGATCAATTTTTATAATCTTAGAATTTTAAAAAGAACTAACAAGTCACAGATTATTGACACTAACTTAGAGAAGTAGAAAGAACATTAAGTAGCTATACATTTTCCTTTAAATAACTACTTTACATTTTTATTATATTTTCTCTCTCTTTCAGGTTATAACATAGTACAGCCATCATGTGACTATAACATGTTTTAAACTCTGACATATGAGAAATTTAAAATCTGACCTTTTTGTAAAGTCTGAAAACACTATAATATACAAACTAGCATTTTGTTTAAAAACATGTTTAAATAGCAGTTACTGGAGGCTGGAGAAAGTAGGCAAGAAACAGGGAGAAGAAAGGTTGGTCAACAGGCCTCAAGTTACAGACAGTAGGAATACGTTCCAGTGTTCTGTTGCAAGTGAGCAACTTTGGAAATCACTAATCTGTGTATTTTGGAAAAACTAGAAGAAAGGGTAATGAATATTTTAATCATAAACAAATAATACATGAGGAGGTGAATATGCTTAACCTGATTTGAAGAGTACACGATTGCATGCATGCATTAAAACATCACATGACATCACAAATGTGTTCAATTTTTCCATAAAAAATTTAAAATAAGACAAAATAATATTTCAAAAATTGAAATGTTTTTAAAATGAAATGTTGTGGTAGGGAAATCTCACATTATTATAGCACACTTACATTCACAGAAAATGGTTGGGAAATGGTTTATGTTGTCTAACTCAGCATAATTATTAGCTGTGTATAATGCAGTAATGATACCTCTTCCTCACTCCTTCAAGTTAAAAGCACTCAGGTTAATTCCTGGCCTTTCTACGCATGTACTCACTAGGCCTATATGAAGTAGATTAATGTTATAGACCGAATATTTATATCCTCTCCAAACCCATATGTTGAAGCCCTAACCCCCAAAGTCATTCTATGTGAAGATAAGGTCTCTAAGGAAACAACTAAGTTAAATCAGTGATTACAACAGTGGCCTGCTAGGACTGGTCTTCTAATAAGAGGCGGCACCAGAGATGGGCTTACTTGCTTGCCTCCACTCAGACTCACTGTGTTTGTGTGTGTGTGTGTGTACGCACATGTGCACATGCATGTGTGCAAGCCACAATGTGCACATAAGCGTGGACATAGAAGTCACCTGCCAACAAGTCAGGGATAACACTCTCACCAGAAACTGACTCTGCAGGATCCCTATCTAGAACTTTTCAAGAATTATAGGACAACACATTCCTGTTATGTAAGCCACAAAGTGTGTGGACTTTGCTATGACTGCCCAAGTTAATTAATATATTAAATAAACATGGAAGGAGCTCACTGGATGGATGTGGCTAACACAAAAGCTGATGCTCCTCTGGTGGGGAGGAGCGATCTTCCCTCCACTGGGGGAGGAAGTAGGATGCTACTTGGCACTGATGGATCTATCTCATATGTCAGCACCCTCTCCATCGGAGCCCTCTCGTCTTTCACATACCACAGTATCCTCTAACTTCATCACTATTAACATTACAGGGTCCAATTTTCACCTCTGACTCTTCGCTTTGTTTACCTGGTTTGGATACAACAGAGTAGTTAAGAAGAAGCTCACTTAAAATCCTTAGTACACATACAGTAACATAAAACATGTAGAGATCCCTGTGTGGCATAGCATGCTAATCCTGCACATGTGGCACCAGCATCCCATATGGGCACTGGTTCCAATCCTGGCTGCTTTGCTTCCCATCCAGCTCCCTGTTTATGCCTTGGGAAAGCAGTGGAGGATGGCTCAAGTCCTTCGGCCCCTGTACCCACATGTGAGTCTATCTGTTCTTGACTTCAGATAAGCCAAGCTCTGGCCATTGCAACCATCTGGGAAGTAAACCAGAGTCTGGAAGACCTGTCTGTCTCTGTAAATGACTACCAAGTAAAGTAAATAAAACTTTTTTCTTTAAGAAGTGGTAAGATGTTACCCAAAATGTGTTTGAAATTCAGCATGTATGATTCTGATTATCTCTTAATACTATTATTAGAATTTTGCAAAATCTATTGGTCTTCTAAAGCCAAATAAGTAGCATTTAAAAAAGACTTATTTATTTGAAAGGCAGTTACAGTGAGAGAGAGAAAAAAAAAAAACTTCCACCCACTGACTTACTCCCTAAATGGCCACAACTGCCGGACCTGGGCCCAAGTACTTGGACTCTTGCCACCTTCATGGAGACCTGGAAAGGGCTAGCTCCTGTCTGCTGGCTTAGGTCTGGCCCAGCCCTGGCCACTGCGATCATTTGGGCAATGAACCAGCAGATGCAAGAGTCTTTCGCTTTCTCTTTCTGTAACTCAGCCTTTCAAATAAAAGTAAATAAATATTTTAAACCGCCAATTGCTGACAGAAATATTTCCTTTCTAGAAACCAGAAGGATCTCCTTTATTTCCTTTTGGAAGCTACTCAATTATTTAAACTAGTATTTCACCCAAGAAAGCACTCCTGCTATAACTACTTGGCTTTCAAAATTCTTCACAAACTGCTAAATGTCTGTTTTTTAAAAAGGAAGAAGAGAAGAATTTGGAAAGCATAAGGGTAAGGTAACAAGAATATCAGACTGGGAGACCGGATCACTAACCCTAGATTTGTAGGTTAACTGGACACAGGGTTTCATATTTAACTCCTCTGAGTCTTATTTTCTTGAGCTGTAAAATGAGTAGTCTAGATGAACCAACAGGACACGTTCCCTATAAAACATGAGCATCTTGTACTGTCTGGCATGGAGGAGTGTGAAGGCAGATTTTCATAGCATATTTGCTTCTCCACTGGTACTGCTCCACCTTCACTGCCTGAAGGCTTGGAATTTCAAATGCTAAATGTGATGGAGATTTTCAAATTCCAGGCTTCTGAAGCAAGTGATGCTGGGTTAGATTTAGAAATCTGTTTTTACTATTTTCTATGAACTTCCATTCCTTTTTTAGCTCTTTAAAATCTGTGACTGTATCTAATGCAGCTAAATTTTCAAATGTGCACACATTTAATATAAACACTAAAAGGCATAACCAAATTTTACTAAAATGTATAAGAAACTCTTTACCTTCATCAATGGAATCCGAAGTGCTGCTTTTGTCCAAGGAAAGATACTCATTTTTATTCAAGTCCAGGGCTTTTGATGGGACTCTACTTAACCGCTTTTCTGAAGTTAGTAGGGGACTCTTTTTGACCTGCTTCTCATTTGGAGAATCTTCTTTCCCTAACCCCTAAAAGGAAAACAACCCAGTTTAAAAACTTTAAAAATAAACAGATTTTAAACCTAGATTTTATAGTGAAGGTTTTAATAATAAAGATGCTTTGAGAGACTGCTCTTGAAAATATTTACATCTAGTTTGATAGATTTGCATCATATTTCCAGAGCTGGCAAATGTCAGCTCCTAAAATAACAGTTAATAATATTTGGACGACATCGTCAATGTATGAAGAAGGTCATATGCAAAGAACTCACAGATAGTAAACATAATGTGAATTATTTAAGTAGAAGGGAAATGGGACAGGGGACAAAAGTAATGGAACCAGCAGTCTTTGGGAAAAGAACTCACCCATCTCTCAAGACCAGTAACTGAAACAGACAGGGAAAGAAAATAGAGAGATAACAATCACAATAAGAATATAGTAGGGGAGCAAAGATCAGAAGGGAAAGTCATTTCACAGCAAACATTGTAAGCAAAAGTTGCAAGAATACAATTGGCCTTGTTGTTAGGAGACCGAGGGATTAGGCAATAAAGCATATCCAATACATGATGCTCTCTGTAGTTTTCTGGGAAGGTTTAATAACGACTTCTCAGTTCTGCAATAATGTTAAGCATTAAAGTAGGAGTTGTATTGGTCTATTAGTACACCACTAGAACAGTTTTATAATCAGGCTTAGCAGAACAGTGTTATAAATCTATAAAAACGACACAGCAATCGACTTTGATCCACTGTGTGTACACTGATTAAAGACAGCAAAAACATAGAGATAACCCAGTATATTCTGCCTCAGCAAGCAGCTCGGAGGGAGGATACAGGCTGGTGCTGGCCACTCAGAGAGCAGGTTAACAACTGTGACCCAGGACGCAAGCTACACTTGTTAGAAGGTTGCATCTTCAAGCAGATTCTCACAAAAGTCAAAATTTTATTTATTCTGTAATGCCACATGATTAAGTAACATGTCTATTTAGCCACCCAAGGCCTCATAGACAGCTGCTGAATAGAGTTTAAGTTTCTCTGTAGCTCAACATTTAAGATTCTCCCTTTCGGGGTCTGGCGCAGTGGCCTAGCGGCTAAAGTCCTCGCCTTGAACAAGCCAGGATCCCACATGAGCGCCAGTTCATGTTTCAGTAGCTCCACTTCCCATCCAGCTCCCTGCATGTGACCTGGGAAAGCAGTCGAGGATGGCCCAAAGCCTTGGAACCCTGCACCTGCGTGGGAGACCAGGAAGAGCTCCTGGCTCCTGGCTTCAAATCGGCGCAGCACCAGCTGTTGCAATCACTTGGGGAGTGAATCATTGGACCGAAGATCTTCCTCTCTGTCTCTCCCCCTCTCTGTATATCTGCCTTTCCACTAAAAATAAATAAACCTTAAAAAGAAAAAGATTTTCTTTTGCAGCTAATTTACATTATAGTTCCAGTTGCATAGAGTATAGACAAAAGTCAACATTCGCTATATTTTAGTGTTTGGTTGATTTTTATTTTGACAATTTTTAATTTCTTTGCATATTCTTTCACAGTCAATGAATTTTTGCACACTACTAATCTTATAACTTGAACAACTTGAACAACACTTTCACATTGGAAAAATCATTTGATTTTTGTTATTTAGAATTTTGTTGAGAAGAAAAACTAAGACAGTTGGTGGCATACAGTTTACTGACGTCTGAGAATCTCACCACACTGCTCTTGAATGAATACAGAATAAGATCACTCGTGTATTATTTGTATACTATAACCTGAAACATCTTGTTAAACATAAATGAATATATGTTCAATCTTAAAACGCTGCTATTCTTCTATATACCATTCTTCTGCCAGAGAAAGCTAGGATTTCAATTAGGAACAAAACTAGAGGCAAGGATCAATGGATCACCACTCCAAGAGCAGGTGCAGAAGAAGTTATCTGGGAGGCTACTGGATGGATTCAAGTAGAACCAAGTCATCAGTTGGACCTTTATAAAAGGACAAGGAGCCAGCAGAAGCTCCTTGGTCATGTGACTGCCCCAAACTGAGCGGCTTCACCTTCTTAGCAGGAACATGCAGAGAATGACATCCAGAATCATCCCCTTGGCACCAACATAAGTCTTGACCGCTTTCACTCAAAAGTGAGCCTTAAATACTATCCTTCTCATACTCTTTTAAGTCTCTCCCCACCCCCCAAATAAATAAATACCTTTCTTCACTAAGAAATGGTATAGGGCATCAGAAAATGGCTAGTGGTAAGCTGGTTGTGGGTGTACAATGTAAAGTACGTGCTTGGAACATCACTGCTGTGAAAGAAGTAAAGGAACCCATCAAAGGTTACTGATTATTTCAGAAAAACAAATAAGTTAACCCAAAAGGGTTCCTGCTGGTAAAGGGGACAGACTGAGCATCAAATCAATCAATCAATCAATCAATAAGGTTCAGGAGTTTAGCACAGCAGCTCACTCTCCTTGGGACAACCCAATCCCATTTTGTAGTACATGGATTTGAGTCCCTGCTCTGCTTCCTACGTGGTTTTCCAGGGATGCTCACCCTGGGAGGCAACAGATGATGGCTCCCATGAGTGGGAGATGAGGACTGAGTTCCAGGAGCCTGGCTCCTGCAGACCTGTGGTGAATGAACTACCAATAGGCCCTGGGCACCTCTTTCTCTCAGCCTTTCAAATAAATGAAAATTAAAACAAATTCTAAAATGACTCCAACTAATTAAAATTCATTAAAATAAAATTTAATCTCTTATAGTAATACTTGAGTAAAAGTAAAAGAAGCAATTAGTTAACTGCCAAAGCCAGTGGTTACCTGGGCCTGCCTGCGTGCCTGCCTGCCTGCCTGCCTGCCTGCCTCAGTAGGTGGCAAAGCATCTGTTGCTACTGAAGCTTGCTGGTGAGGGCTTGCTCTCCATTCCAAGCAGACTCCTTCTACCACCCTGGGAAAACCGGTAACTGCAAACATCTCCAACCTATTATGCTTTCTTAATGCTGTCGGTCCCCTTAGACTCTGATGCTTAGAAAATTGCCTCCAGGCCTTGCACCTGACCCAACTCTAACCAAAACCACATTATTTTTTTCTGACATACTTCTGATTTTCACAACTCTTCTCCTAAAATAAACTACCAGCCTGACATCTTTAAGCTTCTGAACATGATGTATTTTGTATTTTTACTTAATCTTGTATTACGAATGCCATACCACAATACCAAATATATTCTTAAAGTAATATAGTCATACTGACCTTTTTTTGTGAATTTCCATCCAGGGACTCTGTTTCTGAAACTCGGTTAATTGACTCACGAGTAAAACTGATGGATCTGGATAATTTTTCGTCTTTTTCACCAGAGTCATCCAAACTGCTTCTTCCTGGAGTTCTGTAAGAAACACCTCATTAGGACCCAGTGGCATGGCCTAGCAGCTAAAGTCCTCGCCTTGAACACTCCTCCGGGATCCCATATGGGCGCTGGTTCTAATCCCAGCAGCCCCACTTCCCATCCAGCTCCCTGCTTGTGGCCTGGGATGTCGAGGACGGCCCAAAGCTTTGGGACCCTGCACCCGTGTGAGAGACCTGGAGGAGGTTCCTGGCTCCTGGCTTCGGATTGGCACAGCACTGGCTGTTGCGGTCACTTGGAGAGTGAATCATCGGACAAAAGATATTCCTCTCTCTCTCTCTCCTCTCTGTATATATGACTTTGTAATAAAAATAAATAAATCTTTTAAAAAATCTCATTATAGAAACATAAGGTTATCCACACACAAACAGTTTTTGGTCTCTTCCAGGTCCTTGTGCAATACAAGATATTTTGACAGATTACAAGACTGTAACAAGCCTCTACTTATTAGTAAGACTGGCTTCTTCAATCACATATAAATTGATTTCACTTCTGAAAATAAATAACAGGTGCTCAAATGAGAGTCTACGAATTTAAGAAACAATTAAAACTTTTACTAAGTACAAGTGGCCACAACAGCAACTAATCATATGAAGATTGCTGTTTAAATCCCAGCTGTGGACAAGCATGAAGCTTCAAAAGAGGCAGGTGGATTTTGCGGGGAACCGGTTTGAAGCAGAAAGCATGTTCAGATCTCCTTCCTCCTTCTGACTCAGCAAAAATGCAGATGGAAAAGCTCTGCCTTTAGTGGGAGCCCAGCAGCCCTGCCTGCTTCTTGCCCTTCTCACACCAAAGGACCAGATTTAACAAACTGCTATCAGGGGCAGCCTGGAAATTAACAAGGCCACTCCCCCCAGTGGAGAACCTGGGTTCAAGTCCTACGTGCAGCTCCTCTCCAGTGTCCTGGTAATGAAGAACCTGGGAGGCAGTGGTGAGGACTCAAGTTAAGGGGTTTTCTCTTACCCACACGGGACAGCTGAATTCAGTTCTTGACTCCATCATCAGCTATTCTGAGCATGTGGGGAGTGAGCCAGCGGGTGGCTCAATGTTGTACTCTCTCTTTTCCTGTCAACCCCATAAAAAACAAAATTCTCAAATGGTATAGGGCCAAACCTATAACAAATGTCCTGAGTCCTGCTCTCCCTCTCTCTCAGGCAAAACAAAACAAGAAAAAAATAAACCAAGCAAACAAACAAAAAAACAAACCTGTTAACTAAAATTTTTAAAAAGGAAAAAAGCACAGCTGATTTAACTTCCAGTGCTCAACATTTTGGAACAATTGCAAGTCCCATGAAATGACCGCAACATATACATCAAGTTCTTCTAAAACCAAGGAGCAGTCAGTCTGATGCCTTAAGCTATATTATCCTAGCAAAGGCTAGGGAAGTTAGAATATTTCAATCCTATTTTAATTGGTCCAAATAATGAAGTCATTCCCGGCCAGGAAAAAACGGCAGGGCTTTGAGGCAGCCAAACACCACAACCGCCCCCCTGAGGCTGGTGCAGCAGCTGGGTGTTTGCGCAGCAGGAGAGCAAGAGGGGCAGAAAGACAGAAAGAAGAAAAAGAAGCTGGAGGAGCAGAAGGAATAACCATGTGAAGTAAAGATGCTTCTTTCATAGACTGAAGGGATGAAAAGAGCGTGGGCAGAAGACAGAATGAGGACCCTGCCCCATTTTTCTCAAGAAACAATAATCGAAGAGGAAAATAACAGCTTTGCTGGTGACCATAAAAGCTAGTCCCAAATATATGCCCTTAAGTTCAAGTTAGCAGAGGACTGGCACGTCACCTAGGTTGACCTCCTCATTTCATGGGTGAATAAAGTGAGGGTCCAAAAGGTTGAAAGTTCTGCCTGAGTTTTTGGAGTGCCAGACAGGAACCCAGAGCCCACTGACCAGAGTTCAAGTGTCTTGGTATTACACTAATTGCCCAAATTCAGAACTAGAGAGAAACTAGAACAGCTGACAAAGAGAGCACCAGGACAGTCATGCTGAACTTTATAGAAGACAAATAAAATGTATGTATGGTGGTGGGCCTCAGGACAAGGCGTCTCATGCCTGGATCCCACACGACAGCCACCATGTGCACGAGGTGGGCTGTCCCCGGACTGCCAGTGTGCCATTTGGTGCCAGGCTCTGCCTGCTGGCCGCCCGGCCAGGACCTCTGGGGTTTTGGTTGTTTGAATCGCTGCTTAGGTAGCTCCAGGTTGAACCCATTGTGCTTCTGGGATGTGAATCAATCCTAAAGATTCCCAATGACTGTAACTCTTCCTTTGAAAAACTTGTAATCACTGAACAATGCTGACCACCAAACACCAGTCCATGCAAAAGCTATGTCTCGGGGCTTGTCCAGCAGAATCATACCCTGTTACCTGACATGATGATGGATCAGGAGAAGGGTCACATTAAGCAGGGCCATATTAACTAGCACTCGAGAACCATATCCAGGGGTAGATTCTGTGAGGGACGTGTGGGCCAAACCCCGTGGAAATTCTAGCCCCACTGGTTAGCTCAAGAGTTGGGGTAGTGATGGACTATGCTAGGTGTGACCAAGGAGCCTGCCATCAATCAGGTAAAGGAACCAACAACAGTCTGGACTGGTCAAGGCAGCAGCACCCAAATGTGCATCCTGACTAGGGTGTGAGGTAGACCAAGCTGCAACATTCACCAGCTCATATCAGGCCAAATGAAAGGCCAGACTTTCCCGCAACCTGGCCTAAAACCCTTTAGCATGTATGAGAACAGGGTTTGGGAGTGGATCAAGTGGAGGAACTTGGGAAACTTCCCTGGCAAGTCATAGCTCCCACTGGTGAACAGGTGATCCAGACCTGGGGGTTGGACAAGCTGGGCTAAGTAGCTCCAACAGCTGGCAGATATGTCAATTGGTAATGGAACAGGGTGGACTGGGCAGGACTGATCAAACCTTAGCCCATAAGCAAAACTAGAGACCAGGATGGCGCACAGGTCATGCCGAGATAGGCTCTTGCACCTACTGGTCTGCATGAGCCAGGAACGCTAAGCTATAGTGTCTAAGACAAAGGTCGGGACAGGTGAGGGGCTGAGCCAAGCTGAGTCAGAGCAACCACTGGCATGCGCATAATCTATGGCTGGGAACAGGCCCGGTTGGGGACCTAAGGGGACAACCCTAGCTGGGTTGAGATTCCCACCAAGGGGCATGTGGGCTGGAATGGGGGTTGCGTTCTGATCAGGATAAGGTTGTAGTCTCCCCTGGTACAAGTGTGGACTGGGATTGGATGCACCAAGCCAGGCCAGTCTCCAACACCCTCTGGTGTCCTGTACGACCAGGGTAGATGTGGGATGGACTAGGCAAGGTCTCAACACCTACTGACTGAGCCATATGTGAGCCATATGTGGGTATGGATGAGCCATGGCTGGGCTGAAACATCCAACAGCAAGAACCAGTTTGGGTTGAAGGCCAGTCAGTCAGGAAAAGCCACTGTTCCTGCTAGGACAGGAGTTGAACTGAGTAGGGCTGCCTCATGGACCCACTAGTATGCGCAAAATCTGGCATTGGGAGGGGTTCTGATGGAGGAGTTTGGGCAACTCCTCTGGCAGGACACAGTCCCTGCAGGTAAGCACAAGAAACATGATAGGAAACAGCCCAGAACAGGCCATGGAAAGTTACCCACTGGCATACACTTGGCATGGGTCGGGGAAAGACTAGGCTGAATCAGTTCACATCATACACTGGCAAATCCAAGCACAAGGACAGTATGGGTCGAACCAGGTTCGGTCACAACAAAAAACCAGCGGGCTGGGGTAGCTGGACAGACATATGTGTGGGCTACATAGTGGAGCTGGTTAGATGGAACTAAGCTTTAATACCCATTGACATGTATGAGGGCCGAATGGGGTGTGGAACAGACTGGACATGTCTGCTACAGATACTGGCAAAGCAGGGAAGGGGGCGGTCCTGATGGGTATATTGTGGGTTGCTCCAACTAGGCTTCAGCTCCCACTGATTTATGCAAGGGCCAAGTATAGGCTGGGAAGAACCAGGCTGGACTGCAACACCTATTGGATCCACTGGAAGACAGGGCTGAAAATAGAACCAACCCAGTGATTGCAACCACCAGCTGATCCGGACAATGGACTTTGCTGGGCCCTGTGCTTGCTAGTACATACAAGAATCTGGTCCGAGAACACATCAGACAAAGTTTCTTTGGGGATCTCCCCAATTGAACTGCCGAACTCAGAACCCTAACCAAGAAAAGAGAGAAGACAGAACAAGTCAATCAACCATTTCAGCTATATGTTGGCAGCGAAAAACTGGGCAAATGGAGACTGTATGATGGACTATGTCAATTGGTGTATTCTTCAAAGACCTCATCATGCTTGGAGTGGCAAGATTGGCAGCGATTCATAACTGGTGAACTATCAAAACCACTTGAGCAAGAACCTCAGAGCATGTCCTACATCTGGGACCTGGGGTGGGTGGAAAATTGGGTGGGCCTTCTTCCTTAATATCCCCCTTTAAACATGAAGGAAACGATATGGAAACAATAGTCTTACCCACTTCCCTATAGCCCTTGAACCTTTTTACCCTAATCAACAATGTATAAATTGTCAAAAATATAATAAGCAAAGAGAAAAACAAATAAAAAATGCATGTACAATGGTGCATGTAGACGAAGGAACCGCTGAGCTAGAGCCAGTCCAAATGTACAATGGTGTAAAAAAGGAGGGGCAGAACTATGATATAGTGATGCTAAACAAACAATCTAAATAGGATCAGCATAACTAGCAAGCTATCTAGATGAGTGAAATTTCTGTGTATCTGTTGAGACTCAGAACATTCCATTTTAAGACTTACTTACTACAGAAATGTAAATAACATCTTTATTCAGATGTAATTCACAATCCTAAAACTCACCCCATGTAAAGGGTATGGGGCCCAGTGTAGTGTTCTGGCTTCTTCACTTCCAATCCAGCTCCCTGCTTATGGCCTAAAGTAGAGCATGGCTCAGGGCCTTGAGCCACGAGAGACCAAAGGAAGGTCCTGGATCCTGGCTTCAGATAGGATCAGCTAAGCTCCAGCAGTTGCAGACACTTGGGGTGTGAATCAGCGCATGGAGGACCTCTCTCTGTCTCTCCTTCCTCCCTCTGTAAAAATCTGCTTTTCAATTAAAAATAAAGATTTTTTAAAATAGTAAATAAAAAAAATAATAAAGTGTACCATGTAGTCAGTGGCCTGCAGATTTGGGCAGCCATTAGTACTACCTAATTTTTTCACAGTCATCATCCCACAAAGAAACCCTGTATCCACTAGCAGTCTCTTTCATTCTCCCTGCTTCTCAGCTCCTGACAATTAATGAACTCTTTTCTGTCTCTGTGAATTGACTGTTTCTGGACTCCATCCTATTTACAGTCATACAGTATGCAGTCTCTCATGACCAAGTGGCTTCTCTTAGTGTACTGCTGTCTGCCTTGTTAATGTACTCATATTATTCTCTGTTGTGTAATTTGCTATGGCCTTGATTGCCAATGGCAAAACGTACATGTACTTACACAGATAAATTAACAAAAAAAACCTCCACTCTTTGAAATGAATCATTATTGGCCAAAAATAACCCCTCCCCACCAACAAATTTTTATCACATTATCCATTATTTTTGTTTGGGTCCTAACTCTTTGTTTCCCAAAGCACTATAAGCCCTTTCACTAATTATTGAATATTTGTTGAATATCAGCCACATGCCATTGCTGTACTAGGGAATCCTTGGGAAAATGCCGTATTGTCACTCTAACTTTTAAAATATTCACCATTTAATTTATTTCATTATCATCTATGAACTCAGAGATCTCAGGAGCCACTTTTTGAATCCTTAATAAAAAGGCTCACTACAATCAAGCTTTATGCAAATCCAAGATGACATAGCTACCTGGATAACATTTCTTTATTTATCCTATATTGCTTATTTATTTAACAAACTTAGTCTATGTCCACACATTTCACCCTATCAACTACAGAGAACAAACAGGCAAATTGTATCCAAAAGTGAACTAGTAGAAATTCAGAATTAGTAGGTGCTAAAATAATCTTGCTTTAATGATGAAGAAATCCTGGTATTTCAAAATAGTTTACTGTACCTTGCTTGCCCATTGTCCTCAATTGACAGTGACAAGCTTTCCATCTCTTCAGCATTCAGGCCTAGCTCAGTGCCATAGTTCTGCTGGACCAGCTGCCAGAATTCCTGTCTGGTCAGGCTCTATGATGACAGAAAAATTACTGTGAGCATTAAACAATACAAAGATAACATAAAGATCGAAAGTTCAAAAATATTGAAGGCAAAGTACAGCTACTACATGTCTGACTTTGGCAGTTATTTGGTCTTTCTCTGTCTTTACTTTCCTCATCTATAAAAATGGCCTAATAAACTCTACCTGACAAATTCAATATGAAGAATGAAAGGATGATTTTAAAAGGTAGCATATAATAACTACTAGATTTAGGAATTTAAAATGTTTAATTTTTATGTAAAATAACTGTTCATAGTTTTTGGTTATACCTGAACTCATTCTAAATTCCAAAGTCCAACCTGTCTACCACAACCATTCACCATTCAGAGTCCTTTATAGCAGCTCAGAACCCATCATTTTAATCCATAACATATTTAAAACAACACATGCATTACATTACAAACAAAAGCAATAAGTACTTTGGTAACCAAGTATATGATTCCTAGCAAGACAATCATTAGCTACATGATTTTAAGCAAGGCAGAAGGAGGCAGAGGAGCACCTGAAGCAATTAATGACAAGATCCATAATCTCTTTCATTTGTTCAACAGATATTTATTCAGTGCCAACTAAATGTGATTCACTGCAGTTCTCGCTAAGGGAGACTAAACGATGCAGAAGGTCCTCAGACAACTCATGATACAGTGTGTAAGAGACATGGGACATCCGTAAGTTAAATAAGACAAGACACAATAAACACATGGCTGTGCCAAAACACTGGAAGGATCAACAGATGTGGAAAGTCTGAAGGAAATGTTACTAAGGACTAAGGCAATCAGCTAAGGTTTTACCCTGGTGAAGGGTTTTCAGCTGAGCAGAACAAACAATAGGAATGAGGAAAAGGATAAATGAGAAAAGTCGGAGAGAAGCAAACAAACATAAAAATACAAATACAGGAACGTAGGTAGGGTTTGTTTTAAAGCCAATTAATAGTCTATCAGTCTAACTGGAGTAAAAATTTTTACGATGGGACAAGATCAAGTAAATACAGCTTTTAGGGGCCAACATCTACAGATGCTTTGAATTCTTCCCCATTGGCCCCATAACAAATACCACTTCATGTAATTAAAATAACATTTATTCCAAAGAAATACCACCTCTTATTTTTCGCTCCTTTCTTTTCTCCATCTAGTAGCTGTGGTATCTTTGTTTATCAGGTGATCTCCATTATACCCGATGGAAAATTAGAAATTAAGAGCAACATTTCTGCACTTTAGGCCACTAATCTCCAATTCTCCAAATCTCTAGAATTCCACCAGAGCAGTTGGGGAAAAGTGAGTCATTATCAGTATTTCAGAATGTTGAAATGATCCAAATAGTTACCTACAATAAAGATATTCAAGCCAAGTAAAATTGCAAATCTCTTTGAGCTGAATTATATTCAGCTGCAGTGCCTGTCTCTGAGAAACTCTTCTCAGAAATAATGTATGTCTCACAAATAGCAATGTTCTAATATTTAGTACTTCAGCACTTTTCGGTGAACATTTCAAAAGTTTTTTGAAGCACTGCATTCAGAGAACAATAAAATGGGTTATTAGTGGCAGAGACAGTTAAAGGAGCCCCTGTCTTTGATCCTAAAGGAACACCTAGACATTTCTCCTCTGACTTCCACTCCAGCAGTCACCTGTGAACATTTTCATAACGACAGCTCACACTACTAATTAACTAATTCTTCCAAAGTCATTATCTTTGAAATACATTCAGTGTTATAAAAAGAAAGTTAACTTTACAAAAAGGGACAAGCAATATTTCAATATTTCTACTCATATAAGATTTTTACAAGATGTTTCTAAGTTAAATATTAAACTATTGCAAAGGCAGAATAAAGCAAATAGATAAATCAATGATGAATATTCAGAAATGTTCCTAAGAGTGAAAGAAATAAAACTTATTGTAACAGAAATACTAAAAGCAAAAGCATAATTTTATTATACTACTTAAGTGTTTTAAATATTATATAGAGTGCTGTCACAAAAAGTAAGGCAATTTCAATTTATAATTTAGTCCATAATTTAAATATATACATATATATGGCTACTAGAAAATAAGATAGAATTGAATTCACAACCTCGTAGATTTGCTAATTTCTTAAAAAATGACTTTTTCTACAAAGTTGTCTAGTTGCTACCAAAAGGTGGTTATGAATTGCCACGATGAACATTCACACATGGGCCCAGTCTGATGCTCACAGTTCTTTCAACAAGCAGCCACAGAACCAGTCTGCCTGAGCAACCTTTACAATCAACCTAAATTGTAAACAAAAGCTGACCACCTACCTGGGAACAAAGGACAGTCTCCCCGTTTCAGGCTACAGAGCGCTCTGACAAAATAAAGATGAACCAAGCAGTAATCAGATAAGGGGCAAGTCAGAAGATCAATTTCTGACCCAGAAAGCTTTGCAGTCTAAGTGTGCTACAAAGCCTTCCTCTGCTGCAGAGCTCCAAATATTTCACAACAACTATGTAAAATCACAGCTTCAGTCTCCTAATTTTATTCAGAGAAGCTTTTTCTTACAAAAAGGAAGTTCTAAGTGGCTTAAACGACATTATTTGTCACTTCCTGGTTTGTAGTATCAGCACTCTATGCAAGGTTGCAGGTCAGAACCCAGAATTGGAAGTTACATCTCACTCTACAGGTTCCTAAGCCACTCCTACCAGCAGGAGATAGGTAAACAGGTTTTTGTTAAAGGGACAGCGCCCGATTTCTTCCCCTCCTCACAGGTTAGAAACAAAATGAAAATGAAAATATTTTGCTTATGTTCCATTAGTGTAAAACATTTACGGCAAAATTATCTTAATTTCACTTTAAAAATTAACTAGTAATTATATTTTCTTCTGCACACTACCACTTTTAATGTAGCTCTATCAATGTCATTACTTCATGCATGCATTTCTTCACTACTACCATAGGATTCTCATCACATCCCTGCCTTACCTCTTATGACTTACAGAGGTGACAGTCTTACACAGCACTGCAAATGCAATCTCAGGAAACAGCAAGAAGAGCCAGCTACTATTCAGTAATTCCAATAAGCACTTGGCATATCTTCTCCATCATTGCAAAGTTTAAGATAACGTCTCCATTACTCAGTAATTTTTCCCTTTGAAAATACTGATGACTTTAGCTTATTCAGAGACATTATCTGGCAGCAATCTAAGCTACCATAACACTTTGAAAAATCTCACCTACCTATTCCAATTTCCCACAAGTTATCTTCTAAATAAAAAGTAAAAAAAAAAAAAAAAAAAAAAAAAACTTGCCTTAATTTTTAGCTGGTCACTCCACTTAGTGAAATGTGTCGACAGGTCAAATGCTACTTTAACTACGAAGAAGAGTATTAATGAGGTCATGCCATCTACTGGTTTTAGTTCTAGCTTCTCTGCTTCCAACCCAGCTTCCTGTAATGTACACCCTGGAAGGCAGCAGGTGATAACTCAAATGCCCGGATTCCTGCCACCCACATGAGACTGAGTCCTGGTTCTACCCACAGCAGTTTTAAGCATTTGGGGAGTGAACCAATGGATGGAAGATCTCTGTCTCTCTCCTCTCTATGTAATTCTGCCTTTCATATAAATAAAAAACTCTTTGAAAAAGAGTTCCTTGGGCTGGCAAGTAATGGCATAGTAGATAAAGCCACCATCTGTGACTCCAGCATCCCACATGGGAGTGCCAGCTCAAATTCTGGCTTCTCTGCTTTCAGTACAGTTAACTTTCAATGTGCTTGAGAAAGAAGTAAGAAATGCCCCATGTACATGGGCCCTTGCCCCCTGCAGGTACAGGTTAGTTGCTTTGGCCTGGCCCACACTTGGCTGTTGTGGCCATTTGGGAAGTGAACCAATTGGATGGAAGATCTCTGTCTTTCCTCCCCTCTCTGTCACTCTGCCTTTTAAATAAATAAAATAAATGTTTTTTTTTTTTTAAAGAGTTCCTTTAGCACATTATAGTAGGTTTCATTGGCTGGAATTACAGATAAGTAAATTTAATGTACTGTATAATCCAAACAGCTATGGGAAAAAATATTGCAATTGATAGTTATCTACTTATTTTGCTAATCTTAAAACTCCTTACAGCAGCCCACTGGTACACACAGCAAAGCTAAACTTAGTAGGCTCAGGCGAAAGATAGAGCCCAGAAAAGAAAATCCAACCTGTAATGGATAAGAAGAGGAGTGGCCAGAAAAAAAAAAAAAGATTAAGGGAAATACCACAGAGGTACAAGGAATGGTCAAAAAGAATGTTGTCAGGGAAGTGAAGGGAAAAAGATGTTTCAAAATGGAAGCAGTATACAATAGCTTCAAATGCTGCTTAGAGGTCAAGCACACTAGGGCAAATGCAAGTAGCCAGAGCAGTAAAGCAGCTTAGCTGGTCAGGTCACCAATGTCAGAGTGTGTGTGCTGGGCAAGGAAGGTAGGGAAGAGGGGTGATGAGAATCACAAGGCAAGAAGGAAGTAGCTCAGTCATAAACCTGTGTGCTATGCCAGGAATACAGACTTCATACATATATAAACACACACACATAGAGAAACTACATATATACATGTATGTATATATAGTGTATATGTACATATGTGTGTATATATAGTGGTTTCATAGAGAAAAGTAAGGAAATCAGACTATGTACATAAAAGACAACCCTTTAAAATCACTGCCACTTGGCAACAACCTCAAGGACAGATTAGAGTGATAAAAAGACATGGTTATGAGACTACTATAACAGTAGAAGCTGGAAATGATGAGGTCCGTGGAGACCAACAAACAGTTGCTGCAGAGGATAAGAAACAAGCCTATGCCCAGGTTTCTGCCTGTAGGAGGTGGTAAGTGTTCTCTGATCATGGGAAAATAGGCTGAAAAGTTCTGCTAACCAGAAACAATATGAGAATTCAAAATTACATCTAGCAGCTAGAGTCTTTGGCTTGAACACACCAAGATCCAATAAGGGTGCTGGTTCTAATCCTGGCAGTCCTGCTTCCCATCCAGCTCTCTGCGTGTGTCCTGGGAAAGCAGTCGAGGACGGCCCAAAGCCTTGGGACCCCACAACTGCGTGGGAGACCCAGAAGAGGCTCCTGGCTTTGGATTGGCGCAGCGCTTGCCATTGTGGTCACTTGGGGAATGAGCCATTGGACAGAAGATCTTCATCTCTGTCTCTCCTCCTCTATGTTTATCTGACTTTTCAATAAAAATAAAATAAATCAATTTTATAAAAAATAATACAAAATACATCTATACTTTCAGGCTATGACATAGCACATGTGATTAAAACAGCAATTCTGCATTAATTTCTCCCAATGTTTGAATGTTACTTTTATTAGATTTGTACAATGACTGAAAAATTTCTAAAATTTTAAATAACTCAGAAATGATGATCGGAGAATTACTTGAAAAAAAGAAGAGGATTCAGGGCCCGGCCTGGTGCCTAGCAGCTAAAGTCCTCACCTTGAACAGTCCGGGATCCCATATGGGCACCGGTCCTAATTCCAGCAGCTCCACTTCCCATGCAGCTTCCTGCTTGTGGACTGGGAAAGCAGTCAAGGACGGCCCAGAGCTTTGGGACCCTGCACCCGTGTGGGAGACCTAAAGGAAGTTCCTGGCTTCTGGCTTCGGATTGGCACGCACTGGCCTTTAGAGTCACTTGGGGAGTGAATCATTGGATGGAAGATCTTCCTCTCTTTCTCTCCTCCTCTCTGCATATCTGACTTTGCAAAAATAATAATAATGCATCTTAAAAATTAAAAAGAGGAGGTTTCAGTGAGGTTGAGTCATCCACAGAAGACACCTGGAAGTCAGTCTTCCCAAAGGATCACAGGGGACATTGGTTTACAGCTGACCAACTTTTGGAGAATGACCTCAGTGTTGGCAGCCCCAGAGTGCAGCTTGAAAGAGTCACACCCATGCTCATAAGCAGCATACTAAGCAGAGTAGGAGAATATTCCTTTCTAGAACTCTCTCTGGAGCAGGCACGGCAGCACAGTGCATTAAACCATTGCTTTGGATTCCCATATGACTTATCACCGTGCTTAGTTTTAAGTCCCACCTCGGTTCCTGATCCAGCGCCTGGAAATGTGCTCCCTGGGAGGCTTGGACTCCTGCCACCTGTATGGGTGCCCCACATGGAATCTCTCGCTCCTGGCTTCAGCCTAGCCCAACCCCAGCTGTTGCCGGTATTTGAAGAACAAATCAGCAGATGAAAGGTTTCTATTTCTACCTCTTTCTGTCCTTCTACCTTTCAAGTACATCTTTTAAAAAGAAAGAAAAAAATATTTAATTCTGCCACACAGGGTACCTGGATACTTGGAAAGTCGCAGAGGTATTCAGAAAGTTGCACAATAACCACGCAGAAAGAGCAAAGGTAGATGGCTCAAGGGGTAATTTACTACGACCTTGGTGAGGCATGATGAATCATCTCTGTCCCATCTCCATACACTCCATACACTTTGCTCTACACTGAGCAAAGTCTGCCTGTGTGAACCTAATATTCTGTCCTAAATTCTTTTTTAAAAATATATTTAGTTTTCAGTTCAGCCATGGTAGCCTAGCAGCTGAAGTCCTTGCCTTGAACACGCCAGGATCCCATATGGTCACTGGTTCTAGTCCCAGCTACCCCATTTCTCATCCAGCTCCCTGCTTGTGGCCTGGGAAAGCAGTAGAGGATGACCCAGCGCTTTGAGATCCTGCACCCATGTGGGGAACCCAGAAGAAGCTCCTGGCTCCTGGCTCAGATTGGCTCAGCTCTGGCCATTGCGGCCGCTTGGGGAGTGAAACAAGAGACAAAAGATCTTTCTCTGTGTCTCCCCTCCTCTCTTTTCAATACACAAAAATCAAATTAAAAAAACATATTTAGTTTTCATTATAGACAAAGACAGGGCTAGGTCAGCCAATCTGGACCTCAATCCAAGTCTCCCACTGTTGTCTCCCAGGGTGTGCATTCACAGGACGGTGGACTAGAAGTGAAGTAGCCAGGACTCAGAGCAGACCCTCCCAATGGGTTGTGGGTAGACTAAGCAGTTAGTTAACTACCGGGCTCCTCATCCCATCTTCTCAGTAATTAAAGCACATGGAAAATAATAATTCTTTCAGTCACTGAAGATAATTTCAAGATAATCATTTGTTCTCCCTTTGTGTAGAGAAGGCTAAAGAAACTGAGTTAAATGCATGCTGAAAGATACACACACATACACGCAAATCCATACTGAACTTAGGGTATAAGCTGAATGTTTCTGAAACTAAATTTTTGTGCTTTCTCCTCATCTATTGTCTTTTCCTTGAGCAAAGAAAATTTAAAATACCTTGTTAGTTATATATGGTGATGATTTGAACTCTATGTCATTGGCATTTTATTAAAAGGCATCATTGTGAAAGTATTTATTTGGCATCTGCTACATGTAATATATAACTTTTGACCCACACCGGCATACTTTTGCAAGTAAAACAGTCATGACTCACTCTTTACTTTGCTGGAGGCTTAAACCCACAATGTCCCACTCTGTCCTGGGAAACCAGGGTATGTGCCAAACTTGTTCTACGGTAAACACTGAGCTTGTTCCTGGACATTCAACTGTGAACAAGACAGACAGAGCTCTTGTCCTCAAGGTGTGAAGGTCAAGCAAGCACAGAACAATGTTATAAAGGAGAAGCACCAGATGTTACAGAAGGGGAGCGAATGGCAGTTTTATTAAAGAGTCTTCTTTAGAATTAGGGATGGGAACAAGTCATACTTTCCAAGCCAAAACCCTAGCACAGAAATCACATGTAGAACATTGCAAAAGGCAGAATAGGATGGGCACACAGATGCACAGCTGGAGCAGTGTCTTAAGTGCTTGTCTTAAGTGAAGTGTCTTGTATTGTCCATATATAAAATTCTAGGCTTTTATTCCAAGAACAATGGGCAGTAATCAGGAAATTTTATATAAACATACATATGTGTGTATGTAAAATAAGCATATATAAAATAAGCATATATATGTAACCTTATACATATTTGTGGTTTTTAAAAAAATATTTATTTATTTTTATTATAAAGGCAGATCAGATTACAAAGAGAAGGAGACACAGAGAGAAATACCTGTCCACTTGTTCATGCCCCAAATAGCTGCAATGGCCACAGCTGAGCCAATCTTAAGCCAGGAGCCAGGAGCTTCTTCCAGGTCTCCCATGCATGGGTGCAGGATCTCAAAGCGCTGGGTCATCCTCTACTGCTTTCCCAGGCCACAAGCAGGGAACTGGATGGGCAGTGGAGCAGCAGGATCACAAATCAGTGCCCATACATGATCCTGCTGCTTGCAAGGTGAGGATTCAGCCACTGAGTAATTGTGCCAGGTTCCAAATACATTTTTGTTATGATAATGCTTTATTCAAGGTTCAACAAAACTGTTTCTATATTGGGTCACAGAGGAATATTTCATGTCTTTATCAAAAATGTTCACCTCTACCACCTTAGTGCAAAAACAGCCACAGACAGTTATGTAAACATATAAGCATGACTGTGTCCCAATGAAACTTTATTTAGACACTGAAATGTGAACTGCTATGTGTCAGAAAACATTCTTTTGGATTTATTTTTTGGGTTGTAATTTTAAAATGTTAAGACCAACGATGGGCATTTGGTACAGCAGTTAAACTTCCACGTGGGATGTCCAGATTCCAGAATGGAATGGCTGTGATCAAGTTCCAGCTCCACCTCTGCATCTAACTTCCTGGTGATGCTAACCCTGGGAGGCAGTTGCCATTCACATGGGAGACCCACACGTCGCTGGGTTCAGCCTGACCCAGCTGCAGCTGTTGCATGCATCTGGGGAGTGAACCAGCAGGTGGAATGTCTCCCTGTTTCTGTATCTCTCTGTGTGTCTCCTTGCCTTTCAAACAAAAATGTACCATGCAAATGACTTGCAATGATATTTTTATAGAACTGTATGGTTATGTTGCATATTTTATGGCTTTTTTTTTCTCTTTACTTTCTTTTGGACTGTTACATAAGATAAAAAAGATCATCAATGTGGTTTTATGACTTAAAAAACAATTAGAAATAAACTGAGGATTGAAATATTATATAGACAGTATCAAGAAGATATCAAGCACCTAGCATTCTTGTCTGATGCCCAACACTTCATAAATGAGCACTATTATTACCATCATAGATACTAGTACATTGAGCAAATGACATTGCTCTTTAAAGCTCACTAGGAGAATAGAAGAATGATAGTGGGCTTTTTTTTTTCTAGTTCCTTTTCTTGGTGAACTCACTTTTTTAGGTGGATTTTCCATTTCTTCCTTCATTGTTAGTCTTTGCTTCAGGCTCTCTTACTAAATGCATATAGGCTTATGACTGTTACAATTTTCAGATGAAATGACCCTTTCATTATAATAAAATGTTTTTCTCTGTCTCAATGAGTTTTGTCCTAAACTCTATTTTATCTGAAATTAAGATGGTCACTTCAGTCCTCGTTTGGTTACTGTTTGTATGTATATTATTTTCCTTCCTGTTCCTTTCAGTCTACCTGAGCCTTTGAATCTAACTTGTCTCGAGAGATGTATCTGGATCATGTATTTTTCATTTTGCTGTTATTTTGCTTTCTGAGTGAAGTATTTAATCCACTCATGTTTGACTATCTATGTAATGTCTGTCATTCTGCTCTTCTTTTTCTACATGTTTCAACTTTTTGTCCTTTCAGTCCTCCTTTACTGTGTGTAAAATAAATATTTTCCAGTGTACCATTTTATTTCCTTCATTGTTTCTCTTATTATGTTTTAGGGGGGTTTGTGTGTGGTTATTCTATAGATTATAATGAATACTTTATAACTATAGATCTTGACTTGCTTAACATTTTTTCTTAGAATTTATCTAGGCAAAATCCAGTTTAGAGAAATAAAGTCAGTTCTTGAGTCACAGACATTGTGTAGGTCTACAGCGAGAGCTTGTTAGAATAAGCATCTGTCTCTGGTCCACTTACCTTGTCTAATAATACATTCTGCCACAACCTAAAGATACTGAGGTAACTTCTATCTCTTGCACCAAACGATGTAAAGAAAAACTATAAAGAAAAATAGTAAGACAATTTTAGAGTCATGTAAAATAAGCCTGCCATCACTAAAACTACCAGGGCATCAATGCTGCTTTTAGCTACTATTTTTATTTAACTTCTTTTTTGCATTGGGAAAAAACAGATGACTATTGTACGAACAAAGTGTCTTTATAACTCACAATTTTACAATAAATGGTAGCTTACACTACACACAATCTTGTCGCTATTTAATGGGAAAAAGGCCCTTTGAATACAGAGCTATTTATGTTCACCTTTGCTTCAGTATTAAAATAAATCTAAAAAATAAAAATAAAAATGTATTTTATTCTGAACTTTGCAGAAAGACATGAATTGGGTGCAGTTTGAACCAGCAACACACAAAGAATAAGAAAAAGAACTGAATGGATTTCAGAGATAGATTATTTTTAAGGATATTAATTTTAGATTATATTATCTTTCATAATTTAAAAATTTTAGAAATACCTATAATTTTCTATTTTAGATATACAATGCTCACATGAACACTGAAATGTTCTTTGTTATAGAGAAGTGGCAGGCTTGAATGTATAATTCTGGTTTCTTTCAGGTCTTTATCATTTTGTTTATCTAGCTGATTTTTATAAAGCCATTTGAGAAAATGTGACAAGAAGCTGCCCTACACAGTATCTGAGTGTGTCCTCTCTTCCAATTTTTTCAAGCTTTCATGCCTGAGTAGTTATCTTCAGGCCCTATCCTGAGTTTATTAAGTAAACTGTCACCCTAATATTTCTGGATGTTAACAATTTTCATAGATTTAAAAATATTAACTTCCAATTCGTTAAACTGAGCTATTGCTACATGTTCTTCTTCAAGAAACAATTTTACTGAAAGAATACATTCAGGGCCCAAAGTGGTGCCTAGCAGCTAAAGTCCTCGCCTTGAACGAGCCAGGGTCCCATATGGATGCCAGTTCTAATTCTGGCAGCTTCACTTCCCATGCAGCTCCCTGCTTGTGGACTGGGAAAGCAGTCAAGGAGGGCCCTAAACCTTGAGACCCTGCATCCGCGTGGGAGAGCAGGAAGAGCTCCTGGCTCCCAGCTTCTGATCAGCATGATACCGGCCTATAGATTCACTTGGGAAGTGAATCATCAATTGGAAGATCTTCCTGTCTGCCTCCTCTCTGTGTATCTGACTTTGCAATAAAAATAAATCTAAAAAAAAAAAGGAATATATTCAAAAGTTCTTCCAAATAGAATTACATATGTGACATGTGGCCTCTTGATTGTATTGCTTTTTACTCCCTTTTCTTAAAGTAAGTTGTTCTGCCTAATTGTAATAATCCAACAATGCTGTGAAATACAGAAATTAGCAAATTCTCTTAGTCTTGTTTTCATGTTGTGCTCTGCTTGCTTATTCCCTGCTTTTAAACTTAAACACCTTCTTATTTTTTATTCACTCTAACATATAACCATTCGTTCCCAAAAATGTAAAATCCCCTGCTTCCTGTACAGTATGCACACATCGCTGCCTTCCTTGATTTCTCTCTGAATGTCCAACTTCAAAAATGTAAAAAAGAAAAAAAATCTTGGTCCAACAGTAATCTTAATTTTGGAAGAGTTCTGGATAATGATATCTTTAAGCTACTGGAGAACAGAACATATTTTAGAACCTGAAGCAACTTAAAGAGCTACAAATAACTTTCTTCCATCATAAAGCATCTAAAAGGAATTAAACTCTATAGTACAGTTTTTTTTCTCCCACATGTTGGGAAAAGAGATCACTTGGGATAACATAGGAAGGAAGTAAAATTGTGGTCTCTGCAATTAAAACACCTAGCTTCAGGTTCCAACTCCACTTGAGTTCCTTCTGTTTCTTAAGTTTCCTCTACTACAAAATGAGAACAATGATAGCAACAGAGTTTTATGAGTATTAAGTGAGAAAACTGTAAAAAGTTTAAAATAACAGTTACTACATGGTGCTGAATAAATATTGACAGTGATTGTCATTTTTCCAAAAGATTTAATTATCTTTATTGGAAAGACAGATTTACAGAGGAGGAACAGAGAAAAATATCTTCATCTGCTGGTTCACACCCAAAGTGGCCATAATGGCCAGAGCTGCACCAATCTAAAGCCAGGAGCCAGTAGCTTCTTTCCGGTCTCCACATGGGTGCAGGGTCCCAAAGCCTTTGTTCATCTTCTGCTGCTTTCCCAGGCCATAAGCAGGGAACAAGTTGGGAAGTGGAACAGCCATGACATGAACCAGCACTCATATGAGATCCTGGGACTGCAGGGGGAGGATTAGCCAATTGAGCCATTGCATGGGGCCAAGTGTCATTATTAAAATTAAAATGAAAATACTTGACCTTCCAATTTCATCATATATGTGAGAAATACTCACACATGAGCTTAAGGAGGCTGGTCAGGATGTTCACTGCAGTGTTATTTATAATAATAAGACATTAAGTATGATCTAATGGGCAAGGAAACATGGTGTACCCATTCTATGAAATAATGTATGGCACCATGAAAACCAAGATAGGTCTCTATATATGCCTACCTGCTAAGAGATAATTTTTTTTTAAATGAAGATCTACAGAGCAATATATAATAGCATTTATTTCAAATAAAAGCAACGCACTGTGTGTGTGTGTGTGTGTGTGTGTGTGTGTGTACACATCCACGTAAATACAAAGGGAGAAGATCCAAAAGATATAATAGTCCTTGCTTCCAGAAAGACAGCAGGGTTGGGAATAATGGCCATAGAAGAAAGATTAAAAAAAAAAAACTGTTTTATGAGTTTGTTAAGTAACAAAAAGATGTGCACGCATTCATTACAAAATTAAGCATAATTCAGTACATTCTCTTCCTTTCATGAATAGTACATTCCTAAACCTGTTAGTGGGATTGAGACCAACAGAAATCCAGGTATCTGCAAAAGGAGAAAAAAGGTGCCAGGGGAGCTACAGAAACAGAAACAGTTTGTCAGATCCAGGAGAAACTGAGGCTACCCACACAGAAAGTTTGCTTGGTACTCAGTGTCAGAGTCCCCATGGGCAAAAAGTGCCTCCAGAGAGGGCAGTGGCCTGAAGCACAGAATTAAGCAAGAGCAGGATAAGAGAAGTACGGGGACTGGCACAAGTCAGAGGCCCATGAGGGTGATCATGCAACCAGGTTATTTGGATGTCCAAATCCAAACAGCATGAAGAGTGTTGCCAGGAATGAGGGCAGCCTACCAAGGCATCACGTTAGAGCCAGAGCAGACAAGTGTGGTCAGAATGACAGCCTGTGGGTGCAGCCCTCTGTTGGAGGCATCAGAGGCTGAGCAGGATTAGGATGGTGACAGACTGGCCCGGAATGCCACAGCACACACACGGAATGCAGGATGTGCCAGTGGAGGAGTGATCTGGCCCAAGGAACAGGAACACAGGGTACCGGCTTGGCCTGGAGTGTCAGTCCGAGCAGCAAAGAGGTTTTACATAATGAGCACATCTATATCACAGTGGCTGAGTGGAGTCTAAGTGCCAGAAACCAAGCCAGGTGAAAAGTCAACTGGGTCAGAGTAGTGGCAACAGAGTGGAAAACTGATTACATATAGGCAACCTGGTCAAATAAATAAACAAGATTATCACAGATCAAAGGCTATCCTACAAAATAACTGATCTGTAATTTTTTAAATCTCAAGAGTGTAACAGTGGAAAAAAAAAAAACCTAAAGAATGCTTCCAGAACTTAAAATAGCATGATAATCAGATGTAATGTGTAATTCTAAGCTGAGTCTACTTGCTATACAGGACATTATTAGGATAATTATTGATATTTATGGGGCCTGAGAATAGAACAGTATCACTGATAATTTGTTAATTTTGAAGACTGCATTGTGGTTGTGTGGGAGATTGTCTTTGCTAGAAATGTAGGCTAAAATATCTGCAGATATGAGGTTAAAAACCTCTGGATTGTAATTGGAAGTGTTCCAAAAGGATGGGGCAATGGTTTGGGAATAAAATCTATAGCGTACTTAGAAAAACTCACAAGATTAAAATATATTATTATAGGACCTGGCACAATATTAGCCTAGTGGCTAAATCCTCACCTTGCATGTGCTAAGATCCCATATGGCTGTAGGTTCATATCCTGGCTGCTCCACTTCCCGTCCAGCTCCCTGTTTGTGGCCTAGGAAAGTAACAGAGGATGGTCCAAAGCCTTGGGATCTGCACCCATGTGGGATACCGGGAGGAGGCTCCTGGCTCCTGGCTTCGGATTGGCCTCAGATTGGAGGCTTCTTGGGGAGTGAATCATTGAACAGAAGATCTTTCTCTCTGTCTCTCCTTTCTATATAAATCTGCCTTTCCAATAAAGATAAATAAAACTATAAAAGAATATATAATTATAAATATTTAATATTAAGGCAGGTTTTCTCCTTCCCCTTTCTTTTTCTTCTTTTTTTAAAGGACTTAATTTGCATGATTCCTTCTTTCTTCTCTTCCTTGTCTTCTTCCTCCCTTTCTTGTCTCAGCCCTTTGTTCCTAAGGGCATACATAGCACCCTAATCACTTTTTCATGTGGGAATAGTAGATTCTTCACATATGCCCACTAGGAAATGGCAGTTAATGTAGGAGGATAATAAAAGTGATGGCAGCTAAAAACAAACGCCATTCTAAAACAAGACCACAATGATTATGCACTTACTTTATGCTCTCTGCTTATCCAGATCATTTATGGTTAGTTGTCATTATACAGTTACTGACTAAAGAACTGTAGAATTACTAGGTTATTTAGAAATAATAAGGAATGTTGCTAGTGCTTATATCCTACCAATGTCTTATAATGATGAAATGAAAACATGGGTCAGAGGTCTGACCCAGAGTAAAGCACAAAAAAGTCAGCAGGCATTGAGGTTAATGATAGGGGTCAGCACAGTGGCTCAAGCAGCTAATCTTTGGTCTGCAAGTGCCAGCTCTTATGGATGCTAGTTATGTTCCAGCTATTACACTTTCCATCCAGCTCCCTGCCTATAGCCTGGGAAAGCGACAGCGGATGATCCAAAACCTTGGGATCCAGAAGAAGCTCCTGGCTCCTGGCTTTGGATCTACTCAGCTCCTGACACTGTGGCCATTTGGGGAGTGAAGCAGTGGAAGGAACATTTTTCTGCCTCTTCTCTCTGTAAATCTGTCTTTTGAGTAAAAATAATGAATAAATCTTTAAAAAAATAATGCAAATCACTATTTTAGCATACAGAAATGTAAGAGAGAAATATAATCTATCTCTATAGACTAGTTCCAGCTTTAACACCTGCCAGATTCATGATAGTGATAATCAAAGTTGAGGCAGATTTTTCTCCACATCATCTAATGGCAAGTATACAAAAGTTTTTCACCTTTTCACCCTCTGTAATGATCTGGATAGCATTTGGGATGAGTCGAGCCGTTTTCTCCTTGGTCATAAAGGTTATATTCTTTAAAGCAATCGAAATCTACATACATGAAAGAATTAAAAATTCAAAACATATTTTCAGAAGAATATATACGACATACTAAATCAAGTATTACTTCAGTCTGATCTGGAATATATAACAGAAAACCCTGAAGGAGTTAGTAGGCACGTGCTTATATTTTCTGAGAAAACAAGTGAGAAGTCAGACATATTTCCTTCTGTATTCTCCTGCACTGACTCCTCTATTTAATATTAGGACAGAGTAAAAAGACATGTCAATGTGCATGTTCCACAATAACACACAATGACACAAATGCAGTTACATGAAATATGGCTTTGGCAGCCAACAAATACATCTTTCATCTTTTTCAATAGAAAATCTCTAACTGCAACAAATAAGTACAAATGGAGCTCAACACTTTAAGCTACAAAAATATATTACACACTTTCATACAGAACACATAAATGTATTTACATGTATGCAAGTGCAGATGTATATATATATATTTCTAAAGTACATTATTTTGGATGAATGTGCACATTTCTATCTATGCAATTATTTTTGTCAGAAGATCAATGCAAAAAATGTCTTACTGCAGTTTCCCATCTGAAGATGTTGCTATAGAAACATAGCCAGTTTTCTGAAAGGTAGAGTCGTCCTTGAAGCAAAATGTCCTTCTGAAGAGCACAAGCATAGTCTATGTACATAAAAATCAGGAACAGCTTAGTCCCAAAACTTAGCAACTGAGCAAGCCTAATACCATTTCATAAAAAGTACATTGTTTGATCATGAGTTCATTCATTCGCCCACCTAATCAAATACTTTGGACACCACATGTCGGGTTTTCTGCTGTCACTCTGGTTACCAGAAATTGCTCTGGCCCTCATGGGACAAGGTGTAAACCAAGGGCAGACAATAAATAAATACATACAAAAACAAGTGTGATATGACTACAGTAGAGAGAAAGCTAGGCAGGCCAGTAATATGGACCACGAGAGCAGTGAAGAGTGAGTGAAGAGTGAGTGCATCAGGGAAAAGTCCCCTAGAAAAGTGATGTTTAAATTAAGATCTAAAAATCAATAAAACATCAGCAGGATCATTGGGAAACAGTTCATAGTAGAAAGAAACAACACATTTCAGGAACAGAAGAAGGTAGAGCGCTCTCAGAGCTGAGGAGATGGTCACCCAAGGTCTCACAGGCCATGGAGTGCAGCAGATTTTATCAGACGCCACCAACAAGCTGCCTGTGGAAGGGACATGGGCAGGTAAGTTTATTTACCCCATGAGAATGGATTCCAGTAAGTCAGTTGGGAAGCCCAAGGGAAAACTGACAGTGGCAGTGACCAGAAGGCAACGACATTGAGACATTGAGATAACACCAAAATTTTTTTCTGGTAAATAGTTAAATGGAATAAGCTACTCATTTACTAGTATGCATCTCTAAAACAGAGGTGGGGCTAAAGATCATCCTAAGGTAAACAGGGATTTTTACCTAAACCACTGAAATACTTTCTCAATTGAATTCTTTTCAAACTTCAGATCAGAAATACCTGGTAGACTTAGGAGAACACTCACAGTTGGGTGCCTCCCTCAGAGTTTGCAATTCAGTTGATATGGAATGAAATCAAGACTCTACAGGCTAAACAAGCTCTAAGGTGACTTCAGCATTGCTCATATGTGGACTACATTTTGAGAACTACCATGTTATTTTACAAAACTATACTCAAACCTACAGCAACCAGGGCTGGCACGATGCTACAATTCGCCAAATCTCTACCTGCAAGTGCCAGCATCCCAAAGAGGTGCCGGTTCAAGTTCTGGCTGTTCCACTTCTGATCCAACACCCTGCAGATGGCCTGCAAAAGCAGTGGAGGGTGGCCCACAGACTTAGGATCCTATATCTGCTTGGCAGACCTGGAGAAGCTCCTGTCTTAGAATCGGCTCAGCTCTGGCCATTGCAGTCATTAGGGAGTGAACCAGTAGATAGATGTTTCCCTCTGTCTCTTGCTCTCTGTAAATCTGCCTAATAAAAATAAATAAGCCTTGAAAACAAAAATCAATAGCAACCACCTGGATTCTCTACAATGAAACTATTTGAAATATATTTACAGGTTTTTTTTCCAGTGGCTTTCAAAAATAGTGGCACAATGTGTGAAGCCTCCACTTGGGACACCTGCATCCAGGGGACTGAGTCTCAGCCACTCCTCTTTCATCCAGCTTCCTGCTGATGCCAACAGGAAAGGCAGCAGATGATGGCTCAATTGCTCTTGACAGGGACAGGAGTTTCTTGATGCAGGCAGGCAAAGAGGGACAAGGGGGCCCTGAGCAAGGAGCACTTGACCTGCAGACAATGTTGCATCACCAAAGGTCCACACCACCTTGAGCACTCTACCAACTTTCCTTATGCAAAATGAGTAATTCTAGTTCTGACAACTGAGTGGCTTACAGTGACAGCATTAATTTTTGCCTCATTAACATATGTATGTATGTGACACACACATATGTGGCATATACATACTTGTCTGCTGTGTAAGTATATACACATGTCTGTTATACATATATACCCATATGTATGCTATACATGTATATATACATGGATGCTACAGGCATTTCTGGCAGCTGCTCGCTGCACAGCCTGAAACAAGCATGGAAGATTTTCACCATATTAACATCTATAATCACCAGTCACGCAATATTCCCCATTTAAGATATTTAAAATTTCTAAACATAACATCTTCATCAGCAGCCCCTGGTGGGACCCCTCCTAAGGAGTTGGGAGCTTTTTCTTTCATCCAATAAACTTCCTTTGCTTTGTTTACTCTTTGTTGTTCATGTGCCTTATTCTTCATGACCAAGAGGCAAAGAATCTGGTGGACAGAAAAATCTGCAACACTTTGACCCCTGCCACCCGTATGAGATATCCAGATGGAGTTCTGGGCTCCTGGTTTCAGTCTGACCCAGCCCTATCTCATGAGGGTATTTTGAAAATGAACCAGCAGATAGAAGATCTCTCTCTTTCTTTCTTCTGAGAGTGTTGAGATTGCTATTCCAGTCAAATGAAAATTAAAAAAAAAATAAGTAAAGTTTTCCTTAAATAGGTTTGTTTTATCATAGTAATCATGTATCTTAACAAAAACTTTTTTTAAGTGGCTTCCTAAGGGCAAGTATTTAGCTCAGCAGCTAAGATACATTTCATATCAGGTGCCTGAGTTTAAGTGAAGCTCCAATTCCAATTCCATTTTCTGTTAATGTATACCCCGAAGCAGATGAAGGCTCAAGTACTTGGGCCTCTTCCATCCTCATGGGGGACCTGAATTGAGTTCCTGAATTCTGATTTGGTCTGGCCCGGTCCTTATGTAATCGTGACAAATGTGTCTTCCCTTCCCATAACATCTTTTTTTTAAAGATTTATTTTTATTATTTTTTTTATTGGAAAGGCGAATATACAGAGAGGAGAGAAAGAGAGGAAGATCTTCCGTCCGATGATTCACTCCCCAAGTGAGCACAACGGCCGATGCTATGCCAATCTGAAGCCAGGAGCCTCTTCTGGGTCTCCCACGTGGGTGCAGGGTCCCAAAGCTTTGGGCCGTCCTCGACTGCTTTCCCGGGCCACAGGCAGGGAGCTGGAAGGGAAGCGGGGCTGCCGGGATTAGAACCGGCGCCCATATGGGATCCCGGGCATGCAAGGTGAGGACCTTAACCACTTGCGCCACCGCGCCGGGCCCTTCCCATAACATTTTAACTAACAAAAACAAACTGCTAATCTTGTTGCTTGGCAGACAATCACACATGACAGAACAGGCCACAAGATCCTACTCTAGGGATGAAACCAATGGCTGTCTCCACCAGGTTCCATCTAAGACTGCTCACATTGCAATTTAACTTGTGGTTAAAATATTCTGATAAAGTGAGGGCTCAGTCAAATTACAGAATCTTACTTTACAGCCAAATGCACAAAGAATCCAAAGGTATGCAAGTACCAGATGGTGAGTCACGAATGCCAATCATGAGCGTCATCCTCACATTACCATTCAATACACCCTTGTACCTTAGGCTTAGTCCAAAACCAGGATGAAAGGGTGCCTTGTGTTCTCTCAACTAGCCCATTTCTCTTTAGGATGTACTTTAATAAACTTTGTCTTATCTCTACTTTGTCTCTGAACTTTCATTCACTACTTCATTTGTGAAAAGGAACTGCAGCAAGTCAGTTGCCACTGGTGACAATGATTTAATCTGTCTTGTAATTTATCCTGTTTGCACAATAATTTCAGGACCCACTGTCATGTTTGGCTCCACAGAGACCACCCTCTTCTACATGGCCACGCCAACAGAATTAACTCTTGTCTCTAATGCATTGGCTGTCTGGTAGGGCAATCCAGGCTTAATTTTGATCTGGTAATAGAAGATCTCCTTGTACATTTGTCTCTTGCTCTGTGTCTCTCCGCCTTTCAAATAAAATGGGAAAAAGAAATCCTATGGGATTCATGGAGTGAATCTAGAATAAGATTACCAAATAAGTCATATATACATATCAAAACAAACAAGATGCACTCACTGTTTTGTTTTATAGGAGAATTTAGGTACATCCATCCATAAGTGAAGTGTTAAGCAATTAAGAGATGTGGTTTATTCAAACTATCATTTCTGCAAATACACATATATACAAATATTCTCTTTTAGCAGCAATCATCTTTGGGAACCCAATAACGCTGACAGTGTTTCTTTATTATTATTATTATTATTATTATTATATTTTTTTACAATCTTTACATAGGTAATTAGGGTAAAAAGGTTCAAGGGCTATAGGGAAGTGGGTACCACTATTAATTCCATATTATTTCCTTCATGTATCTAAGGTAAAGAGGGATATTGAGGAAGAAGCCCCACCCAGTTTCCCACCCACCCCAAGTCCCGGATGTGCGGCTTGCTCCGAGGTTCTTGCTCAAATGGTTTTGATGGTTCACCAGTTATGAATTGCTGCCAATCTTGCCACTCCAAGCACGATAAGGTCATTGAAGAATCCACTGATTGACATAGTCCATCATAGAGTCTCCATTTGCCCAGTATTTTGCTGCCAACAAATAGCTGAGATGGTTGATTGACTTGTTCTGTCTTTTGTCTTTTCTTGGTTAGGGTTCTGAGTTCGGCAGTTCGATTGGAGAGATCTCCAAAGAAACTTTGTCTGAGCTGTTCCCAGACCAGATTCTTGTGTGTTCTAGCTAGCACAGGGCCCAGCACAGTCTATTGCCCTGATCAGCTGTTGGTTGCAATGGCTGGGTTGGTTCTGTTTTCAGCCCCGACTTCCACTGGAACCAATGGGTATTGCAGTCCAGCCTGGTTCTGCCCATAATGCTGACAGTGTTTCAAAAATAAAACTCTGGGACCAGTGTTGTTGGGCAGCAGGTAATCCTCTGCCTACAATTCTGGAATCCCATACAAGTGCTCTGACACCTATATGAGAAATCCAGAGCGAGTTCCAGGTTCCTGGCCTCAGACTGGCCCGGCCTTGGCCATGGCAGCCATCTGGAGGAGTGAATCATTGAATAGAAAATGTGTGTGTGTGTGTGTGTGTGTGTGTGTGTGTGTTACTGTATCTTTCAAATACAAAAGAAAAACAATTTCAAAAAAGAATCTGAAAAGGAAGGGAAAATATACTTTCTGTGCCCGGCATTGGCGCCAGTTCTAATCCCAGCAGCC